AGTTGAGAGAGCAGCCTACACTGGAGGCTAATGAGATAAAAGTACAAAGACAGGTTGGGAGCCAAACTCTCAGCTAGACATCCCACCATTGACACCTTCTGGCACCACCATCCTCCCAGAGGCGCATTTCAATAAAACTGAACTGGGCCAAGAGCTACTCTTCCACAATATAACATTCATTGGGAAATAAACATAAAAAGAGAGAGATGTAAAAGATAGTAATGCCCCCAAGGTAATTATTTTCATTCATTGGTAAATATTCAATTAATAAATGTGACGTGCACCAATGCTATCAATCAATGGCTGGTGCCCCTTCCAAAATGAACAGATCAACACACTGTGTGGGCATGAGCGCTCTGGTCTGTGCTTTGCTTGCTGTCTTAGTGATAGCCAGTCACTGGGAGAACTCACATTGTTGTGTACGTGGTTTACATATTTGGTCCTGAGTTCAAGTGTTAGAGAATCTGAAAAGCTTTATAAAGGTGGATTTAAACACACTCATACCTTGCTCATGGAAAGGCTATAATGAATGCATAAACAGATCTGTCTGAATATTTGTAATTCTATTCTTTTCAGTTCCCTTCTTCAGGACAGCTCATGAGCGCTTAGAGCAGGGACCAGCCTCTCTCTGCTTTATGGAGTCATCCAAGTTCTTAAGCCAGTGATAAAACAGCTGCTCTGAATTTTCAAGGGAAAACCTGCAAATTTTAATTAGTATTGTTTTACCTTGTAACAATAAGTTTATATCAGGACTCAGGAAGCAAAGGCAAGTCGGTTGTAGGGTGGAGGGCAGCCCAGACTACACAATGAGATAGCAAGGCCTCATCTAATAAACAAATAAAAACTTAATCTTCTTAAAAGTTGATTTATATAAAAATTTCTGAATGAATCAGCACAGCAGGATGAAAACTCATGAAGAGTTTTCCAATTTCATCATTAAGCCTAAAACCTAATCTAAAATAAACACTTAAGAAGTAAGATATGCACCATGATTAAATCTGACTTCTGCAAGCAATGCAGAAAATCAAGGTCTTAGACCATATTCACAAAATGAAAAGATTTTAAAAACACTTAATCATCTCAAAAGATGCATAAAAAGCATTTGACAAAAGTCAACACATTTCTTAGTTACTCAAGGGTGGCTGTGGGGTGGTTGAGAAGGTAATGGAGCCGTCTACCAAGCCTCATGACCTGAGTTTGACCTCCAGAACCTACATGGTGGAAGGGGAGAACTGACTCCTTAGAACTGTCCTCAGACCTCCACATATATGCTGTGGCACACAAGCACCTGTGTTTATGTGAGTGAGCACACACACACACACACACATACACACACTATAGTAGTATTAATAATAATAAATTTGAAATACACTTAACACATCAGAATAACAGAATAAAGCCTCTTCGACCTAAGCAAATATAAAAAGCCCACAGTTAACCATTACATTGTCACAAGCCTGTAATCCTAGCATTCGGGAGGCCGAGGCAGGAGGACTGTGAGCTCCAGGTCAGCCTGAGCTACATAGTGAGATCCTGACTCAAAACAAAAAAGAAAGTAAGAAAATTCATACCTAACATCATTTTAATGGCTGAAAACTTTCCTCCTAGAAGCAAGAACAAGGGAGGGCTGACTACTCTCACCACTATCGCTGGAGAAAACGTCATGACCAAGACAACTTGCAGAAGGAAGGGCTTGTTTGTCTTATGGTTCCAGAGGGTAAGAGTCCACCATAATGGGGAAACATGGCAGCAAGCAGGCACAGTAGTCAGAGCAGGAAGCTGAGAGCTCGCATCCTCAACCACAAGCAGGAAACAGAGTCAATTGGACAAAGAATGAGGCCTTAAGCTCTTAAGCCTTCCCTCAGTCCTCCAGCAAGGCCACACCTCCTAAGCTCCCCCCACCAACAGCACCACCACCCAGTACTCCTTCTCCTCTTGCTGCCTGTGGATCAAGATGTAGAACTCTCAGCCCCTTCTCTAGCACTTTATCTGTCTGCATGCCACCATGCTTCCCACCATGATGATAATGGACTAAACCTCTGAAACAGTAAGCCAGACCCAGTTAAATGTTTCCTTTTATATGAGTTGCCATGGTCAGTTCTTATTGCTGTGGTGTCTGTCCACAGCAATAGAAACCCTAAGACAGCTCCTATTTCATATACAGAAATATTAACTAAAAAAAATCTAAGATTTGAATAAGAGAATGTTCTGGCTAGTTTTATGTCAATCTGACACAAGCTAGAGTTATCTGAAAGAGGGAACCTAAATCGAGAAAAGAGTTCCAAAAGATCCAGGCGTAGGGCATTTTCTTAATTAGTGATTGATGGAGGACGCCCAGTCCATCATGGGTGGTGCCATCCCTGGGCTGGCGGCCCTGGGTTCTATAAGAAAGCAAGCTGAGCAAGCTAGTAAGCAGCATTCCTCCATGGCCTCTGCATCAGCTCCCACCTCCAGGTTCCTGCCCTGTTTGAGTTCCTGTCCTGATTCCCTTCAATGATGAGCAGTGAAATGGAAGTATAAGCCAAATAAACCCTTCCTTCACCAACTTGCTTTTTGGTCATGGTGTTTAATTGCAGCAATAGAAACCCTAACTAAGATAGAGAGTTAAAACTACAAACTTGTAGAAGAAAATATAGGTGTAAACCTTCATGGCCTTGTATTTGACAATAATGTGTTTTATATATGATATGTAAAGCAAAGCAGGCAAATATAAATCAGAAGCACAGCAAGGTCCAACTTTATATCCAGCAGGATTAACCATAATTTTAAGATGGACAAAGTAACGAGTGTTAACAAAGATACAGGAAAAATGAAGCCCTTTTGCATTGCTGTTGGGAATGTACGACGGTTCAGTCCTTCTAGAAGGTTCAGCAGTTCCTCAAAGGGCTAAACACTGACATTAGCACATGCTGTAGTGATTCCCCTGTTCTTTACACGCCCCAGAGACCCAGCCTGACACACACTGATGTTCACTGCAGCGTTATGCACAAGAGCTCACAGGCAGAATATTCCACAAGTCTATCAACAGATGAACAGATGTGTTTAAATGTGGTGAGCATGGAAAAGAAAATGGTGTCCAACCACCAAAGAATGGAGTTCTGATTCCCCCACCACCTGGATGAGCCTCAAGGATCGTAGGGTGAGAGAAATAAACGCGATGGAAAGGAACAGTAAAATTCCACTTATACATAGTGGACTTAAAGGCCAAGTTCATCCAAACAGAAAGCAGAAGCTTAATGGAATGGGAATGAGGAGTTATTACTTAATGTTGAGAGTGTGACTTTTAAAAAAGGTTTAAACAAGAGTGGTGGTGGCTTCACAACACAGTCAATGTAATTAATGCCACCAAACTTCACACTTACAAATGTAAATATGAGCTGGCATGGTAGCACACACCACTATTCCCAGTGCCTGCGAGGTGGAGGGAGGAAGACCAGGAGTTCAAGGTCAGCTCAACTCAGTTACTTCATGAACTCAAGTCCACATGAAGTTCTGACTCAAAAATCAATACAAATGAACATAAAAGCCAAATGACATAAATATGCATATATCTTTTAAGCAATCTTTTCAATGTTCTAAAACAACTTTTATTTTAAATTAATCTAATAAACAACCTTATAATTATGTATTATATACCTATATAAAACATATATTATACATATATGTATATATCCAAGTGTGCAATTTGTATGGTATGTGATTTATATTCCAAAAAAAATTTTATAAAGAAGAAAGGAAAAAGAACAAGCTCTCAAGGTATGGAAGGATATGGACGAACTTTGGGGTATATTGCCCATGAAAGAAACCAACCTAAAGAAGCTTTATGGTCTAAGCTCGTGACATCTAGAGAAGGAAGAATTATAAAGCCCAGTGGTACCCAGGGCCAAGAGGGTGAGGGTGGGTGGTAAGACACACTTAAGCAAGTGGAAGGACCCTGTTTAATATTGAGTGGTAGACACGGGACATTATGTCTTTCCAAAATCTACAGAACTGTGTGACACATATGATCTATGAACATTATCAACACTGGCTGCCACCTGCAGTAAATGAACTTTCACTGATGTTAGTAATAGAAAGACTGTGTAGATGCAGAAGTTTTCAGAGAAATTTTTTGTATAATTTTTGTATTTTAAAAAATGTAGTTTTAGGACAGGTAGTGGTAGTGCATGCCTTTACTCCCAGCACTTGGAAGGCAGAGGCAGGCAGATCTCTGTGAGTTTGAGAGTTTGAGGCCAGCCTGGTCTACAGACCAAGTTCCAGGACAGGTTAAAAAAAATGTAGTTTTAAAATGCAGTAACCATAGAGTACAGTGAACTTTATTCTCTCTTCATGATTTAAAGTCTATCACTTTAAACACAAATTATAGCTTCGCATTTCTAATGCAAAGGAAAGGAATGCTGGCTCGTCACCTTTGCAAATACTTTGGTGCCAATCTACTTCAATATCCTGTATAGCCCTTTGTCATCTCCTCTCCACACCCTGAATTATTTCATGACCTGAATTTCTGCACGTTTGTTAAGTATGTCCACCTCAGTAGCCTTTGGAGATTCCAAATCCCCTAGAAACGCTTCTCTAAATTATGAATAAATTCCAATCTAATAATGAGTTATAGTGCCATCATTATACAAACCGTCATGCTACCTCCTTTCATTAGCTGTGTCTGCTTTTCTATGAGGTGCCACTGGATCAGGGTGTTACTGCCCTCCCAGTGCCACATTCAACACAGAGGATGGAAATGAGGGCTAGACTGCCAAAAAAAGAGGTGGCAAGGACATTTAAGAACAACTGTTCAAGCCCAATGTGATGGTGTGCACCCGTTATCCTAGCACGTGGGAGGTTAGAGGTTAGGACAGGGGGAGAAGCTCAGGACAGCCTAGACTACATAGCAAGACACTGTGAAAATCAAGAACCACCTTGCTCCAGTTCAGGGTTTAAAACCGTATGCCCTGCACTCATGTCTTCATGGCGCCCTGTCTAATTTTTTACAAACTGTTGGTTACCTTGGTCTTTTCCAGCTTCGTCTATGTGTTGGAAATCTTTAAGCAATTGAAGGTTGTACAACCCCTCTCTGCAACACTGAACAACTTTCTTGGAGCCGTTCTTGATGAGGTAGTCCATCAGGGAGAGGCATTTGTACACATGGCGCCAGTTCTTCCCATGATCATCCAGCCGTTGCCACATCATGTGCATGATCTCAGAGAGGGAGGCCGTGTTGAAAGTCATGTCACTGATGGCTAGCATCAGCGAGCTGGAGGGACCCCAGGGGTCATTGGAAGTTGCTTCCCTGACTTTTATTTCAGCCTCTGAGTAATTTTTCACGAAGTTTTTCACTTGCCTCCTGAAAGCCATAGCTAGAGTTGAGTCTGAAGGTAAAGCGGGGTAAGAGTGATGGGACCGGAAGGAGTGGTTTACAGGGCTCCTGACAGGACATCTGTCCCGGGTCCTACGGCTCTCAAGCACAAATGATTCATTTCCAAGCAATACAGTATCGATTTCCTGCAAGGGAAGTGCAAAAAAATATGTAAGTTCCTTAAAAAAAATATCTACAGGAGACTAAGTCAGTCTTAAAAAATAATCTAGATTTAGTTTTCAAGTCAGCCTGTCTGGGAGGAAGGGACTATATAAGGGTTCTTAGGGTGAGCACAGCAAAATCCCTCACAGGGTTGACCTCCTTTATTCAAAGAGTTGTAGGTAGCCTATCTGTTTCCAAAAGTCCCTGCAGAAATAAACATACAGTGAGTATAGAGGCTTACATGGAGTAGGCTCGCTCGTATTGAAGGGGGACTTTGCACTCTGGCATCTTCACATATTCTGCCATTATATGAACACTGTGTCCTGAAATCACTTAAATGGGGATGAAAACAGTGTTGAGATGCTCCTAGTGCCCTAATCATGCTCCCTCTAAAAGGCACTACATCAAACCTACACAGATTCTACTTTCTTGTCCATCTAGGGAGCGAGCACTAAGATAAACACTTCTACCTCCTCAGATCTACAACTAATGCACAGTACCGAAAGCCAGTATATTAGCCTAGACAAGTCTAGCAAACTAGAGAGAAAGGTTCGATTACTTTCTTTACTCACTTTCAGGAAAAAGAAAGATAAGGGACTTAAATTCAACAGTGTCAAAGTGATGGAATTTCCTAAAACCTGGAGTGATTACCATGTCTGACAGCTTTCCAAATACAAGAAAAGGAAGGTATTTAGGTTACACATTAAAACTTAAAAGGGGTATGCACCCCAAGAAACCGCAGGACGCTTGTGAATTAGCAGTTTATAATTTACATGAAGCTGTTCCCTTCCTCTTTTTCATTACTCTGCAGGAAGGTGAGTCACTTTTTTGCAGTTTCTCTGGTGATTCACCTCCTACAGTGACCAAGGCACTGTGCCAAATTGATTTCAAGCCCTGATGAGCATCCAGACCAACTGAAGCCTAGATGAACGATAATCAGATTTTACTATCGAAGCCACACACACACAAAAGAAAAAAAATCAAATTCATAACGACTGTTTGTTATTTTTAGTTTTGTTTTCTTGACCTCCTCGGCTTCTAGCTCATGCCTGATTAATTGGTGTGTTGAAGGAAGACATAATTTTCAGATGCATAGTAAATAAACTATAACCTTTAAAAAAAAAACAGGAGATCATTAGCCCTTCTGCTCTGTCTCTTTTTGATAAAAACCCATGTACTCTCAAATAAATGAGATAGGAAATATAATCAATTTAATTAATATTTCTCAGAAAGAGACCATATCTATGAAGAAAAAGAGAAGTGTGTGTCTCTGACTTTCTGATTATCTCCTTTGCACCCTGAAGACAAGCATTTTGTCTGACTTCGTCCTGCAGCAAAAACATGATTTATAAGCTTCCAATAAGCTATTAAAACTTTCGGTTTCTACTGTCCTTTTTTTTCTCCTCTACTGAACTCACTCAGTGCAGAGCTGCACTGTAACACCAGCATAGAAAAACAAATATTGATCTGGGTTTTCATAAATCTGTTTTTTAAAAAAAACTATTTTAGAATCATAACTTGCTGGAATTGAACAGTTGTTAAATCTTTTGTTTTTATAGCTACCTATCTATATTTTGCAAAGATTGTGCTCATTATTCAGTTTTCCTATATTCTCTAAGCTGCATCCTTAAATTTTTGAAAATTTTTTTAGACATTTTCTGGCCCAGAAAAAAAAAATTAAGAGCCTTCTAACCCAAAATAGTTTAAAATGGATGTGCCCAGCACCATGCCAAAACTCTCCCAACTGCTACAGTGCCACAAAGAAAAAAGTCTAGATAGGTAAATTAATATCACTTACTCACATACAGTGACATGAACACACAATGAGTTACCATTCTACCATAAGGAATCCAGTAATTGGTGTTAGTTGTGAGTGATGTGACCTTGTTATGTTTTAGACACTCGACCACAGAGGAATGCTGTCTGCTTATACCCTGAGGTAACCTAGAGATTTGTAACTAAAGTCATATGCTGCAGGTGCTTCAGTCAAGGATGACTGTGGTCACATAACATTACATCGCCGAGTGACGTCATGGCCATCTTAGTTTGGTAAGTACATCCTATGTTTGTGTAGATTTTTTAGTGCATATCTCGGAATGTGCCTGTCATTAAGCACCTCGTGACTATACGGCATCTGAGGCAAAATCAGCGGCAAGGAGGAAAGTTTCCACACTTGACTCTCAGTTGTCTGACTGCCCACGTCACCATCACATTGAGAAATAAGAGGGAAAAAGGCAATTCATGCCCCAGATTCATTACCCCTCTGACTCCATCTCACTGTAAAGGTCACCCTATCATACTCTTTCCAACGCACAATTGAGCTCCTTCTTGGCACTTAGATTTCTTTCATGACATTTAAAATAATATGTACTTAACTACTTGTTGTTTGGCTATGGCAAATGACACCAGACTAGAAGCTCCCCAAGGGCTTTGACCTGACTGTCCACTGTGATCCTACACCTAAGGACTACCTTGCCATGGTGGGAACCCAGGACACATGTGAGGGGTGAATGACCAAATGACTGAGTGCTCCTGCTCTGGGACAGAATTTCAAACATGACATTTTAAAAGAATCTAGCTTCTGGAATTGTCATGTATGCAAAAGCCTAGAATTTGAGCAAATATTTTTGAAGAAATCAGCAATTATCTCATGAGAACCATTTGTATGGTTTTGTGAAGAAGTGTGACTCATGTTCCCTATGGTCGAAAACTTTCTGTCTAGCTGAGGAACCTTCTTGATTAAACATTTCTGAAGCAAACACATGATGAAGTCAAATCTCTCCCTCCGTCTCTGCATGCGTGTGTGCACACGAGTGAGCACCTGGTCTAGAGGACGTCTCTTGGTTTTCTTTTTGGATCTGCTTTCCCCAACATTGCTCCTTCCCTGCCATTTTGTCAGAATCGTGACAGGAAAGCACTTATCAGGTTATGTTAAGCTGGTGATCAACAATCCCACACAATTTCCTCAAGGCCAGTTGAACTGTGGCGTTTTGCCGTTGTTTTGAAAGGTACTGCAGTGCCTGTACCATCCATTCCAGAACACGCAGTGAGGGGTGGAGACGCTCGGCGCAACAAACCCCACCAACAGATTCGCGACAAAAACATGTAGATATTTGGAAGAGGTTCTAAATGGCCTCATTTCAGTTCAGATTTCATTACTAAGTTAAAAGGGGAAATTAGTCTTCGAAACTCCAGATTTCGCAATCGAAAATAAAGGATTGAAGAACTAGACAGGGGGTGGAGAGCTGATTCAGCGGGTAAGGGCACTGACTGCTTTCAGAGGACCAGGGTTCTAGTCTCAGCACTCAAATGGTGGCTAACACTCTCTGTAACTCCCGTTCCAAGGGATCCAACACCTCTTCCGGCCTCTACAGGCGCTGTACATATGAGATTTACAGACTTCCATGCAGGAAAAAAAAAATACACATAAAATAAAAAGGAATATAAAATAAACAAACTACCCAACCAGAGGAACTACCCAAACACTTGGGACAATAATAACAATAACATCTAAGAAACTGAGCACCTGAGCCGGGCAGTGGTGGCGCACGCCTTTAATCCCAGCACTCGGGAGGCAGAGGCAGGCGGATCTCTGTGAGTTTGAGGTCAGCCTGGTCTACAAAAGCTAGTTTCCAGGACAGGCTCCAAAGCTACAGAGAAACCCTGTCTCAGAAAAACAAACAAACATACAAAAACAAACAACAACAAAAGAAGGAAGGAAGGAAGGAAAGAAGGAAGGAAGGAAAAGAAAGAAAGAAGGAAACTGAGCACCCAGTGGCATCTCTGGGAGGACACATTTGAGACTGCACTAGAAGGAAAGCACATTCTTGTTTGTTCCTGTTCTATCTACAGACTTGAGTTTGGCTTGGAGGAAATGGGCTCTGGCCTGTATTGTTAACTAAACCCTTACAGAGAATACAGCGGCACTGAAGAAGGTTACTGTTTTGATGGCGAGAACTCCACACTGAAAGAGGCAGAGAAGATTTTCTGAGCCAGTTATTTCCCGAAGCTTATTACACGACAACCTCTGTCCTAGGCAAGGAAGGGGTAAGGGAATCAGGAGCACAAGGCACAATCCTCACCCTACCTTCCCAAAGAAATGGCTACCACAGCTTTGACAGGTGTCGCCTCAGTGCATTTAAGATCCAATGGCAGGGATTTGAGGTCCATTCCCTCAATCATGGCATCTCTGAACCTTGGTTCCCTCATTTACAGCATAAAGAACAATACCACATAGGGCTATGGAAAGGAAGAAAGACAAAGGTTTGGAGAGAATTCTGAAAAATAGAGGATAGAGACTAAGAGAATCATCTTCCACTGGGCAGGGTCTTTCCTGGCACCCCTTTTTTGTTTTTTCAATAGGAAGCTCAGAACAATGAGCCAGGTCACTGGGTCACACAGGAGACCCAGCCTGACGACCATGCAAAAATGGACAGGGATTCCTCAGGTGGGCAACTTCACTGAGGAAATTTCTGGAAGGTGAGCGGAGCCGCATGGCATCCGGTAGCGGGAGCCTCAGAACCCTCGGCCTGCCTGTCCTGTGCTTTAGGCTGAATGGTGGCAACAGGAAAGTTAGGCAGGAAGGCGGCTGGTGACTTCCTCCATCTACTCTCTGTTCCACACTAGAGATTACCGCCCAGAGGGCCCTTCCAATCACCTACCTGGGAACCTCTTCCCCCGTCAAAATCAAACCCCCAGGCCCTTCGGCCTCCTCAAAGAGACCCAGGAGCCCTTGCCGTTGCCCACTTCCGCTTCTGCCTCCTCACTTCCGGCCCTTTAGCGCCCACCACGTGCAGAGCCTCTGGCTGGGGTTCTCCAGCAGGTTCATTCGTCCTGG